TCTTTTTATTATTATTATTATTATTATTATTTTTATTATTATTATTATTAATTATTATTATTATTATTATTATTATTATTATTATTATTATTATTATTATTATTATTCTTATTATTATTATTATTACTATTACTATTATTATTACTATTGTTATTATTATTATTATAATTATTATTATTATTACCCCAATTTATTATACCATTATTTAATCTTTCACTTTCTTTGTAAGCATCCGAATGTATGATCTCCGCAATCCATCTCCATAAATTATAATATGATTTTCTATTACTAACATCGTGGACTAATATTATTCCATTAATTTGTTGATAAAACATATTACGAACAGATTTATGCTTTGAGGATCCTCCGACATCAATAAATTCCACAAAATATGATTTCTGACTTCGTGAATGGGTATGAATCTAATTTTGAATTCATTATTATTACATCCTTAATTAATTGAATTAATTGACTACTTTTGTTTGAATCGATTTATTTTAAAAATTATAAAAATAATATATCTACATAAATAAAGTGCAATTGCTTAAAAATTCCATACATACCTTAACGTCTACAGAACAGCCTATTGTCCATGTTGGATTTCGTAATGCTTCATTATGACAAAGTATGTGTACAAGACTAGTTTTTCCCTAAATAATAATATAATAAAAAACGAAATATAGGATCATAATAATAATTATAATGTGATTATTATAATAATAATTATAATATGATTATTAATTATAATAATAATTATTATAATAATTAACAAATATCATTTAAAAGAATAAACTTAAAAAATTTGTAGTTACCACACCAGAATCACCAACAACGACAACTCGTATTTTATCGTAATGTTCCATTATTTAATTTATTATTTATAAATTATTTATATTTGTTCATTCAAGTTTTTGTTGAAAATGCTATTTTTATCGTGATATATAAATGTTGAATTTGCAGGTGGGCTTTTAACTCCACGTGATTTTAACGAGTGCATTTTATATGGTTACACGGACTAATTTTGCTGTCTAATCCATAACATGGATGGGATCGTCTAAAGCTCAAAGGTATGGTTATTTTTTTGGGAAATCTTAACCTAGACACCGGAGTCTAATCTATCCCAGTATCACCAACAGATTTTCACCCCACGTGTAGGGCTTGTCAGGGTAGGATATTCAATATTGATTTTAATTAAATATATTTGTCACCTAACATTCCTTCATAAATTCACGTGATCTATTTTTTGATCACCTGTCATATTATCCCTTAATAGGGGGTGGGTTTGGGTAAGGATGACTCAATGATTGCGCCTCTGGCTAATTGATTTTGTTCTGGCTAAATTTTGGCTCAATGGCTAAATTCCGGGAGTGTATATTAATAAAGTTATAATTCATATTGTGTAACATAATATATAAAAATTGTTGATCGTTCTCTTTTGATTTTATTAGTAAATGTCTAAATATAAAAATTAATTGTTATATTATATAAAAAGAACAGACATATATCATTAGTCATTTTAATTTTTTTTAACCATTCTAACTTTAAATGCCAATTGTTCTCTCAATTTAATGAAATAGGTCTGCTGTTTTTATAGAGTATGCAATTCATTCTTGTCTTTGATATTACTTAGTTACGTTTCAATATTAACTTATATAAATAAAAAATTTTATACATAGCAACGATTAATAATTATTTTCGTATAATTATGATTTTGGACTCACGATTATAATCGCGATTTTGGACTCACTAATATTGAGACTCAATTCCATAGTTGACTTGTGATTAATTGTGAGTCCAGACTCAATTCTTATCCTTACCTGCTACCCGAATTCAAATTTCAAATTATAATTATTTTTTGCCAAAATCCCAAATCCCAAATTTGGGATTTGGGCAACACGTATATAATTTTCCATGTGATTTGTATCTATTTTGGCTAATTTCAAACATTTCTTCACATAATTCATTGCCATAATTATAGAAGAAATATCTAGTTCTAATTCATTTGGATGCTTGGTTGTTTTCAAGAAATCAGTCTAATATTCAAATGACGTATTACGGATACAGTCAAAATGACAGTTTAAATTCAAGTTTTTAAATGAAAATTTAATTTTATAAAAATACAGATCGACAACCATTCACTGATTTAAAACTTCTAAAAGGAAAAAATAACTACCAATTTTTATACATTTATATATATATATAAAATGATTAATAATTCATTCGTCACTATAGA